TGTACCTGTGACTTCAGGCTTGTTTTCAGACTTCGCTGTGACGTCTGCACACTTGACCTTAAGTTCACCTATTATTTAATAGTTTATGAGTTATTAACCAGTACTTTCTTTCTCACTATGTGATCCAAGCTCACAAGCATTAGCATTTTGTTTGACTTTTGGTTTTTCAACACTCTTAGAAGCAGCTTTCGCAGCTCTTTGTGCTTCCTAGGACTATAATTAAACGTCTTGGCCGCTTACTTGAATAGCTCTTCGTTCAGCCCTTAGTTGTGCCTTGGACTTACTGCCCTCAACCTTACACTCTGATCCATCCATCGGGTAGCGCAAACTATCGTAATTTCTGTCAAGTTTCAGCACATCGAATGTCCAACATATGTTAGGTCCTTTTCTTTCCTTTTCTGAGAGATTTCATCCTACAGGGGTAATAATTATGCAGGCCATGTTAGGAAGCGCCGACCCGAATGAGTTACCGACAAAACGCCATGGGAGCAATCAATCCAATATCCAATATCGTTTTTACGAGTCAAGGTAATTCAAGTAATGTAAAGAGCATATTCGTGTTAGAAGTTTATAAAGCTATAATAATATTAAAAAGGCTCCCTGACTTGCCACTTTTCAAGAGTAAATTTCACTTTCCTGTAGAGAAGTTGGTATTTATTCAGACTGAAATTAAACTTGATATGATTATGAACAATAATTTGTGCTCGAAACGTCATCAGTTAATATTACTGTGTAACACTGTGTGATTTATCAAAATAAAATCTTATCCATGATGGAGTTGCACTCAAGCACATTGTCCAAGTTTTATACTTATATGAAATTAAACGTCACGTACAAGGTCATTGGTGGAGTGAGACGCTCAAAGGTCATTTTCGTCCATGTTAGTCGACCATGTGGGATTGCAGTTCCGTGGCCGTTCGTTTACACATTAGTTTTTCCGTTAATCCTGCAGTTATTCACAACTTATCTTGATGAACATTGTTCACAAATGTTGCATTTCACTTCATAATTGTTTCCGTTTCTGTTAAAATTAGTTAATTCGTTTGTTTCGAAAGCTTTTACCATCAGGTCAGTGCATTCATTTCATAGTAATTGTTTCATACGTTGCATTCATGTATGGTTTCAGGGTTTTAGTTGTTTTTCAGCTAATAATGAATTATAGTACTGTGTAGAAGTTTTGGAAATTATGCACATGAACATGTTTGGGTGGCAGAAACAACAGCTGAAGCTGTTCACTCGTTGGTTGCGGTTATTGTTGCTGGCTCAGTTGCTTACTTAACATTTAGAAATCTGGAAAAAAATGTCTTTCACGTTCATGTTTAACAGCCTGCAACTATGTACGAGTGAATCTGGTGAAGAGAGCACGATCAGGGTTGATATTGGCAAGTTTTTCGAAGAGCATATTAAACCTTGAAAATTTCCCAGCTAGCACTAAATTCGGGCTCACTGCAGGTTTTTTTGGGCAAGAGACTTCGAGCGCATCTACTTACGTGGGACAGTGCCCCTTAGCCTGCCCCCTAAAAGTCTGCAATGCGCCCGATATCGTTGCTAGCTGGGTTAGAACGTAGTTTGAAGTTAAGAAAGCTTTGAAACTTTTCGATTAGATGAATGTAATCAGTTAAAAAATTAGGTATGTATTGTGAGAGAACCTAAATCAAACAAGTCTGAACTACATGAGAAGTATGAATCTGTTGTGCCTGTGTGTATTTTTGGGAACTAAAAGAAAGTGGAACCCCTAAAGGGTAAGTGTTATGTATGCTTATTAATGCTTAATGTATTAGATCCAAATACATGAACCAGGACTGCCTTTAGTAGAGCCAGCGTTAACAGCCACTCGATATGTTGCAAAACGGTTTACAAAATGAATAAAATACGATGATCTGGGGAGTGTACGAACGATCTCAGTTGAAGGTAAAACTTTAGTTAGCAAGAATAACGTTTTGGGTTGTGGTCTACGATTGCTGGTTTTCTCGATGTTGTGATTTCTCCGTGTTTATAAACACGGATTTGCATGATATTTTTAATAAAACTTTAAATAAATTTTCCTTGAACCAGTGGTCTTCTTTTTCTTGTCGAAACTTCTGTTGATA